GTTTCTCCATGCCTACCATAATTCTCTTGTTCTCGGTGGCCATATGAGACATTGTCATGTAACCGAGAAGCTGCGTAGATCTTTTTATTGGCCAGAAATGCGACGTGATATTATCCGGTATGTGTGTAGCTACTTTTGGTGCCAAACTCATGATACTCCCCCTTGTGCTGTGGAAGGACGGTTGAAGTCAATTGCCGTTTCCCGTTTGTTTGAGTTGGTGGCATTTGATCTTATGGGATGTTTTCCACAGTCGACTACTGGCAATAAGTATGTTATTATTGCTTCTGATTACTTGATTCGTTGGGTGGAAGTTGGTGCTCTTGCTAGCGCCTCTGTAACTGTTGTTAAGTACTTCCTCCTCAATCGAGTGGTGTTCCAGCATTCTTGTCCAGAGCAGATTCTTTTAGATAATGGTCTCGCATTTATGGCTGAGGCATTTCATGTTTTGACATCTCGGTTGGGGATATGCCACACTTTCACGAGTGTTTATCATCCATAATTAAACAGTCTAGTGGAACGGCTCGTTCAAACATTCAAAGGGATGATTGTGAAGTATGTGAACTTTTAGCATTCAGATTGGGATGGTTATTTGCTGTCTCTTCGGTATGCATATGTCACAGGGGTGCAGAGTTTTGTTAGTGCTTCACCATATAAACTCCTATATGGTCATGATTCAATATTACCAACGGAGCTAGGTTTACTTTTGCAATTGCCACGAGCTACCGATGCTAGATCGTGGGATCAATATTTGACAAGCATTCTTCCACTTGTTCAAGCAAATTCTACTAAACACTTAGGCCGCATACAAGTGGGACAATAACAGCACTATAACTCCCATCATCGTCCACCTGCAGAGTACAAATTGGATGATTTGGTGTTAGTCTGTTTTCCCCATCTTATGGTACATGGTTTATATAAGGGGCTCTTTGCACAATGAAAAAGACCGTATTAGGTGTTGTGGCAAGTTAGACCACAAGTTTATGAAGTTCGGCATGACATCCAGCATGCCCATCCTCTGGAGATTGTGCATGTGCAACAGTTGAAACACTTCATACAAAGGGATCAGGAGCAGTTAATACCACTTAAAGATCCACTACTGCTTCCTTCTGACGTTCCTCTAGATCCTGGCCCGTCTATGAGAGAACCCTAATAGTCTTCCATTATTCTGAGAGGAGGGGATAATGTGAGGCCCAAGTGTACAATTACGATGCCGTATACTAATATTAGCAAAGTGGGATTTTGGTAGCCGTAAGATTGGTTTCAATGCGGACCACTCGCTCTTATATATAAGCTAAAGTTTTTGGGCTAATTGATATACACATTTTCTGTATTCCCTTTCCATATTCCAAGCACTCACACCTTGAAAATACATTTTACATTTTATATTTTATTTAGATAATGGTAATCTATAGTATTAATAAAGTGAAAAATTTCTTACAGCTAAAAGAAAGTAATAGTTCTTGCAATATAAAATTCATTTTTAATTATTCATGGATATAGTAGTATGTTAGTTTAAATTATATAAATTTTAGTTTTATGCTCTTTAATATCTAGGTTTGAAAAATATACTTTATAATACCAGAAAATCATGAAGTAGAGTTGATAAGATGAGAAAAAAACACTTTACTCATAAATGATAAGATTTATAATAAAAAGTATATTTTCTGGAAATGCAAATACAAAACAATTAACCTTATGTATATTTTTATATTCACAATATTAATATATTGTCATAAACATAATATCATATATAAACTATATTAATATTATTATGTACATGGTCATGTGTTAATCTATGCTTTTAATTAAAAACTTAATAATTTAAAAATTTAATTATGTTTACAATCAATGTTCCATATGGTCTTTAATACTTTTATGTATATGATAATATTCTACATCTATGTTTTTAATTAATATGATAATAATTGAAAATTTTAATTATGTTTATAATTGATGTCTAGTTTTGAAATTATTTTAGACTCATATGATCTCGTTGCTTGAAAGTTTTCCATACATAAAAACAGTTATGTAGAGACATTTTATGAGTAATTTTATGTTTTCCATACATTTATTTATAAACATTAAATATTTTCATACATTTGTATTTATATATTTAATAAGAAAATTATGGTATGATATGTTATACTCTTAGTGTAATGCATTAGTTGAAGAATTCACAAACTGTCTTTTTCTTCAGTGAAAATCTTTGGGAATTTTGGACATAGTTGTGACTTTTGATTTAGGACTTTTGGATATAGTGTATTACTTAGAATTTGCATATTGCTGCCCTAAGGGATGAAGATAGCAACAATAGAATAAAATTGGTATAAATAAATTTTTCAAGATGATATATATATATATATATAACATTACCAAAAAGTAAGTTTGAATGTTAATATAATAATTAATATTTAGAATTTAAATTTGTTTTAGTAAAACACTAGCTAATAAAGTATTTCAAGCAAGAAAGAAATTATAAGAGTGCTACTGTTTTGAAATATAAATTAGCATTTATATTTAAAACTTTTTTTTTTTGGTTTTTGAAGAAATTATTAGTGATAAAAAACCCAGTTTAGTGTAAAGAAAACCCAATGCTGATTTTTGAAAAGAAATCATTGTTAATTAATCAATTTTTAGAATCTTATTTAGGTTTCAAGTTTAGAGTTTACTAAAATAGTCATCCTAAAATTAATATAAGTTATAGCTGTAAATATTATTTATAATGTTTTCCAACAAATATTGTTGTATATGTGTTATATGTCAATAATATGATTTATTATAATTTGAAAAAAATTTAAGTATCATTATAGTTTTCATTTATATTGTAAAATGTGAACTATTATAATAATTTTAATTTTATTTAATTTAAAACTAATTATCAAAAATATAAATTTTGTTTTAAGAAAATAAAGAACTATTGAGAATAAGAATGCATTAGTACACTTTACTGATAATTGATAAGCTTGATACAAAAATTTTAATACTAAAATAAAAACATAAATGAAAAAATTTACATATTTATATTGTTTTTTAAAATGTTAAATAATATATCATATACAAAATATTAAAATTTTAATATGTATCTAGTTATGTGTTGGATCCATTGTTATATTTGAAATGTTAATATTTTTATAATTTCTGTTAATGAATAATCATGTTCTGCTTTATATAATTACTAAATAGTAAATAGTTTTGAATAATTTAATAGATATATATTTTTAAATTGTATTTTTTTTATTTTTACCTATATATGATTTGAATTGTTTTGGCTATAGACAATCTTATAGCAGATTATTAAAATTTTCAAAATGTTTTAATGCTTTTGGAATCATGACTTCCATATATAGCTTACTAGCATGATATCACCTAATTATAATCCTGGTAAAGCATGGTTTATTTATTGTTTAACTTTAATTTGATTAATCTGGATATTTAATTGGGAGCTTTTGTATTACTTTTTAGCCTAAAACACTTTCCTTGAGAAGTTCATATAAACCAGGTTTTTAATATTTTAAACTCTTATATCTATGAACTTTCTTCATTCTATGTTTTTCTTTCCCAAGAATTTTGTCTTTTCATCATTGAATTTTCATAGTGGTTATCTTATGCATTATGAGTTATAAAATGTCTTACTCTTGATCTTTTGCTAAATCATATTCTGGTTGGAAAGGTTTTAGAGGTGTAATAATATTTTATATTTTATTAAATATCTAATATAAATTTTTCAAAATATTATTCTCTATCTTGTGTAGTGGAGTTGTATCATTCTCAAAAATATGACACAGTATTGTGCTTTATTTTGAAATTATGAACTTCTCTTTTTTAAATAGCAACTTTAAATAAAGAGTACTAACTAAGACCCCAGCTTCACTAGGAAATATAGTATACCCAAGATAAATAAATCTTCTTTTCTAATTTTACAATGTTGATTGTATACAAGGTTAAATTTATCTAAATTTTGCTACTATTTATATCCAGAGAAATTCACAATAATGCAAGTGTTGGGGAAGATAAGATCTTTTTTTTATCATCACTAAATTTGAATTTGATGTTTTTATTGCATTTATATAATAATAACATAGGCTAACAAAGCAAATAAATCATTGTATAAATATTGAGACCAACAATAAAACTCTTGTAAAGCTGCTGGTAGATTACAATAAAATTATGAGCAAGAAGACTAATTGAAAATATAAAAGGGTTTGTCATTTTTGAGATGTTATTAAAAAATGAATTTGATATTTTTATGTGTATGAGATTACTTATACCATATTAGACAGCATGTCATATATGAGACATGAATGCATAATTTTATCATAAAGCATTAGTACAGATTTTTCTTAATACAAACATTATATCTCTCATATAATTATTATCTTTGGATGTACCTCTTTTCAACACCTTTAATGTAGTGTGAATATCCAGATAGATTTACTTATGTCTATTTTTAAATGTAAAACCAGACACATAATAAAAATTCTATTATTCTTTAGTAAACTATGAAAGTTATAGGCATCATTAGAGTTGAGATAAAATAAATTTAGCTCAGTATGCAATTAAAATTATAATTTCTCCAAACTAGCTTATTATTTTTTGGTAGTCTATAATTCTTCAGTTTTGTGAAAACTCAATTACTTTTAAAGCATGGCAGCAATCTTGTTTATGTTTTTAGGGTTTTGTACCTTTCTATAAAGGCAATAAAAAATTTAAATTCAAATTTAATGATGATTAAAAATGACCTTATCTTCCCCAACACTTGCATTATTATACATTTCTCTAGAGATGAATAGTAGTAAAATTTATATAAATTTAACCTTGTATACAATCAAAATTTCTAACATTGTAAAATTAGAAAAAAAGATTTATTTATCTTGGGTATGCTATATCTTCTAGCGGAATTGGGTTCTCTATATTTGATTAATTATTTTTCTTTGACAAATATTCTTAATTTTTAATAAAATTCAAAGGTAATTATCCTAAAATGGGGCTTTAGGGTTCTTTTCCCCTTCTCTCAAGATGGAGGACTCCGATAGGAGGACGCGCGCGAGGCGGCGGTTTAGCGTCGTCATCCCTCAGCTTGTGCTGCTCCTCGTTCTCGGATTCTACCGTGTCTGGACGGCCTCGGCCCAGCTCCAATCCCTGCGCGCCGCCGCGGCTCCTGGAGGTAGATCACGCAATGCGCGGTATCTCGGTGAGATTACCAATGCCGCCAGGCAGAATGCGGCAGGGCTTGTGGAATCAAGCGAGGATCACAGGCATTGCGCCAGCATCGACAACCTCCCGCCCCGGCGGCGCTGCGAGCACGCGCGCCTCCACTGCAAGAACGGCCGCAGCGTCCTCAACTACGTCTCATTGCACTACTGCGCGCTGGATCAGAGATCTTGGCTGTCGGTACCACTCCTCCTCGCCGCTGTTCTCCTGGCCTTCTTCTGCCTGGCAGAGACCGCCGAAAGATTCTTCTCGCCGGTGGCAACGCTCATGGTGGAGATGCTTAGCATGTCTCCAACGATGGGGGGAGTGACGCTGCTGGCCCTGGGGAATGGAGCTCCAGACGTCTTCGCCTCCATGGCCGCTATCGGGGGTGGGAATTCTCGCATTGGGCTGGGGGCGATCATCAGCGCTGGGACCTTCGTCTCGGCGTTTGTGGTGGGATCTGTGGCGCTCGTCGCGGCTCCATTCTCCGTGAAGCCGCTGCCATTCGTGCGAGACGTGGTGTTCTACCTGGCGGCCGTGGGGCTCGTGTTCTTGGTCTACATGAAAGGGGTGGTGACGTTCTGGCAGGCCGTGGGATTCGTGAGCTTCTACGCGGTTTTCATTGTGGTGGTGGTGGTCATGGATCTGGCAAGGGAAGCACAGTTGGATCACGACCAAGTGCCGCAAAAGCTCGTCCAAGCCGGGATCGATGAGATCTACGTAGAAGCCGATGCCGAGCGCTTGAATCTGTGCCAGGAATCGTTTCGAAAGTCCTGGAAGGATTTCCTCGCCAGCTTCTGGGATTTCAAAGTAGCAAGTCTCAGCTCTTCCAAGGTACGAGCGTTTTTATGATCTTCCAGTTCTTGACGTTGCGATTCGCAGATACGATCGATGCTCCAAGCTCCCTTGCACGTAATTCTCAGAGCCACTATCCCCGAGATCAATCCTTTCAACTGGAGCCGAGCCTACTCCACCGCCAACTTCGTTTTCTGCCCGCTCCTGCTGCTCGTCATGTTCCGTTCCATGATCCCCATCGACCACCCCGTCGTGTTCTTCGTTTCCAGCGTCAAGCTCCCACTCTGGTCCCTCGTCCTCGTCCAAAACCTCTTCCTGGCAGCCGCCTTCTTCGTCTCCACAAAGCATCCACCCGAGTCCACGCAGTTCCCGGTGGCCTTCATGGCCTTCGTGATGAGCGTGCTCTGGATCTCCTTCGTAGCCAGCGAGCTCCTCGGTTGCCTGGCGGCTCTGGGAATCGTGCTGGGAGTCTCTCCGGCTCTGCTGGGCCTGACGGTCCTGGCGTGGGGAAACTCCATGGGGGACTTGGTCGCGGACATTGCCATCGCTCGTGCCGGGAAGCCCGAGATGGCCATCGCGGGCTGCTTTGCCGGTCCCATGTTTAACATGCTCGTCGGCCTGGGCTTTGCTCTCGTCCTCCACACTTCCTATCTCAAGCCCCCGGAGTATTACCTCTCATACCATCCGAGCTTGCTGATAGCTTTCGGGTTTTTGTTCACTAGTCTGGTGGGATCTCTACTCGTCGTCGCTTGCTCGAAGTTCCAAGTCACCAGGACGTGGGGGCTATGCTTGATCGGGCTGTATTTTATCTTTACGTTGGTCAGCGTGTTCTCGGGCACATTAAGTTAGTTCGACAACGAGAGACAAAAGAAGCATTCGAATCAATCCGATAGAACAACAAAACGTACAGTTATCCGGAAAGTTGGAGGGCTCGGACACGCAGTTGGCGGGCTTGTCGAGCTCGGACGGAGAGAAGGTGGCCTACCTTGACAACGAAAAAAGCATGATCAAACCGTAAAGAGAAGAAAATGTATAGTTACCTGGAGTTAGAGCTCGGCCGCTCGACTGGCAGATGATCCCTTGGGCCGGACCGGAGCGAAGATGGCCTCTTTGATGGTGAAAGTGTTCCACCAGCTGAACATATGACTCACGAAGGCCTTGCCATCCTTGATCGTCACAGCCGATGGAACGCGGTAGAATGGCCCGACGTACGTGTGCGTCAGCCGGGCAGACTTCCATCCATCCGAAGACTTCAGCAGTCGGGCACCGGGAACTCCAGCCACCACGAGCTTGTCCGGCGAGAGGAGCGCGATTCCATCCCCTCCAGCCACCAGCGGCGCCTTGACCACTTCCACCGAGGAGCCGTCGAGAGAAACTTTGAAGAGAGCGCCAGACCAGGTGTGGATGACGAGGAGGAATCCGTCGGGGTGGTAGTCGATGCCATTCAATCCGGCCAGGTAGAATGGGAGCTGGTGTGGCTTCGACGTGAACACGGGGCTGGAAAGATTGGCCACATTGTTGCCGTCGCGATCGATCTTCCAGATGAAGTTCCCCAGCGCCTCGGTCACGTATGCATTGCCCTCGGGATCGACAGCCACATCGTCCGCCAAGAGGAGATCTCCTGCCAACGAAATTTCAAGAACTTAGGGGCAAAGACTGGGAGAAATCCAGAGAGAAAGGAACAAAGATCAATCGAGGAAGACAGATCGACGAGGAAAGATTTCCAGGGAGAAAGATCGACGAATCGAGGAAGATAGATCGACGAGGAAAGATTACGAGAATACGACTTACCAGGACTCTCAAGATTCGTCACGAACAGCGTTTCCCACGTTGCCAGATCGTAGGCGATCAAAGCCGCGTGCTTCTGGTTCCATGCATCGGCGACCACCGCTAGCAGCCGGTTCCTCGGCGGATCGACGCGGATGCCGAGCGTGGAATTCCCCTTGAAATCTCCTTCCAGATTCACGACTAGACGCTGCTCGTAGCCTAGATCTGTCTTGACCAGCTCCGAGATTCCTCCTTCGAATCGAGACACGAGAAATCGCTCGTTCTTCGCGTCCCATTGGCATCCCTCGCGAACAGAGCCGGGTCCGGCGTAGCTGATCGTGGCGCCGTCGCCGCTGTTGAGGAAAGTAGCGGTCATTTTCATCGCGATCACAATCGCGGCCGTGACCAGGAAGAAGATCGCGCCCCCCATTCTTTAAGAAGTCAAAAACCTCACGAAATAGGGTTCTTGAGATAGGATTTTAAAGTAAAGAGCTACCTAGGGTTCTAGAGATTCACGAAAGGAAATGCTTGCTGGAGCTTCGATCGTGGCGCTTGCGCTCCTCGTCGCGCTCGGATCGTGTGACGCTAGCCAGACCAAGGTATGCATCGTAGGTAGCGGCATTGGAGGCGCATCGGCAGCTCATTTCCTCCGCAAGTACTCCGGCCGGCCCCAAAACGAGCTCCACATCCATGTCTACGAGAGAAACAGCATCGTCGGGGGGAGAATGGCGATGGTGGATCTGCTAGGGGATAGATTTGAAGCGGGTGCCTCGATTCTCCATCCCAAAAACCTCCACACTGTCCATTTCGTGGGTTTGCTGGGTCTAAAGCAGAAAACCTCGCCCGACAGTGAGACGTTTGGCCTCTGGGATGGGAAGAAGTTCGTGGTGAGGACTATGGATGGTGGGAGCTCGTTCATCACGAAGAAAATTGCTGGATTGATCAATGCGTTGGGGATGCTGTGGCGCTATGGTAGCGACTTGTTTAGGATGCGATCCTTTGTATCGGTAAGCTCTTGCTCCTTTACTTTGATCCTCTTGGCGATTCTCACTCTCTTTTTTGTGTGTGTCTCTCTCTTTGTTCTTATAGCAACTTCTGAAGAGATTCTTGCATTTCTATGACGAGGGAAGGACCCCGTACAGCAGTGTTAAGGATATGCTGGAGTCTGTCGAACTCTATGGTTACACGCAGCATACACTTGTCCGTGAGCTCCTTCGAGAAGGATTGTCTGTCCAGATTATCACAGAGATTGTCACGGTACGTCCACGATTTGCTTTGCGTTTTTCGTTTGTGTCTCTGACTACTCGTTGCAATTCCAGATGATAACAAGGATCAACTATGGACAAAATGTTTCTATCAGTGGCCTGGCCGGTGCGGTTTCTCTCTGTGGTTCTGGAGACGATCTCTGGGCCGTTGAAGGCGGGAACTGGCAGATGGCGGATGGTTTGATCAAGCTCTCGAATGCCTCTCTCGGTTTAAGTGATACGGTGTTATCAGTCGTGAGCAAAGATGGAGTCTACGAGGTGATGAGCTCGTCTGGGAAAAACAGGACGTGCAACGCCGTGATTATTGCCGCCTCCTTAGACGAAGAGAAAATCGTTTTCAGTCCATCCGTCGATCTACCCAAACGCTCGATGCATCACACTTTCGTTACATTCGTTCGTGGGCTCGTCAGTCGGGTAAGTGTTTTTACGTCGAGATTTTGTGGTTTGATCGTATTTTGTATGTTGCCCGAGCAGGATTACTTTGGTCTCAAGGATGCAAAACTACCGGACTTAATCGCTACGTTGGAAGTGCCCGGCATTCCATTTATATCTATTTCGGTTCTTAAGAGCTATAATGCCACCGACAACGCTTACAAAGTCTTTTCCCGAGCATCGTTGTCCGATGAGTTCCTGGACAAACTCTTCAGGTACCGTCCTCAAAGTAAATTCCCGGCTTGTCTGATTTGCTGTGTAGCGTGCGAAGGAAAACCATTCGACTCAACTGGGCGGCCTACCCCCAGTACAACGCGCCAGAAACCTTCGCTCCAGTCATTCTTGATGGCAATCATCTCTACTATGTCAATTCGTTTGAAAACGCCGCGAGCACAATGGAGACGAGCGCTGTTGCCGCAGAGAATGTCGCACGCCTTCTCCTCATGCGCTTGTCCACTGATGGCGCCGTGTTCAACTCTGGACTCAACACCATGGCGAAACGTGGCTCAGAAGAACTGTAGACGCTGAATTACTGGTGACACACGGCTTTTTCTTGTGTGAAAAGAATGTGTGGACATTTTCTCTTGACTATTTTGTATGTCGTGTGCAGAACGCCTCGAGTCTATCCCAACTTTCATCCAGAATAGTCTCAGGAGCAGCAAACAAGAGGCGGATCCAACCAGGAAAACCGAAAGCAGAACCTGGACGCAAGTAAATCATTAAGCATACACGCTATATCTTATTGAAGCCACTGTACCTGGTAATACCCCGAGTGCTTCCTCCTTCGCGAGAGCCACCGCAAACTCCTTATCGTCTCTGAGGTCTTTGAACTTGTCTGAATCGATTCTAATCTGCATGGAACGTTTTGAAAAACAGACTCCGGAGAGAAAGCGTTTACCATGATATACATAGAGCCTCGAGGCTTTGAAGGACAGGACAGTCCCGGGGTCTTCTGAGCTCTCTCGTAGCAAAGATCGGCTCTTGTGCTGAGTGTATCCAAAGTTTGACTGAAAAAGTCTTGTGGAGTATTTTGCAATATCTTCGGCAGCGCGGCCTGTTGAGACGTAAAGTAAGTAGCATTTTTCTAAACTTGTTTTCTGCGCTGTTACCTGAATCGGTGTACACGTTGACAGATGCATCTGTGCGAGATTTGTGAAGGCGTCCAGCACCTGGGAAGATCATAATGGAGATTTCAGCAACCGAAAGGAAAGTTATATCGAACGACCTTTGCTTCCTTGAGGACACAGTCGGGATCACACACCGAAAGCCAGCCGAGCCTCCAGCCAGGGACGAACCAACGCTTGGAAATCCCCCCGACTGTCAACACAGGAACGTGAGACGCGAAGGCTCCCATCGGAACAAACTTTGATCCTTCGAAGGCCATATGAGCGTAGATCTCGTCAGCGATTATCGGCACTCGAAGCTTCCCCGCGAGCTTGGCAACCTGGACAGCGGGTGAGAAGGTGAAAAGGTGAAAAGCTCTCTCGAGTCAATACAGGCAGCGGAAGAACACACGAGAGCGAGACGCGAGGACTTTTTCACACCTGCGTCAGATGATGCGGGGTGTAGACAGATCCGCAGGGGTTCCCGGGATTGCAGAGGACTATCGCAGCAGTATCCGGATCCACCAGCCTCTCAACGCCTCGAAGATCAACCTCCCAGTCGCTGTTTGGAAGCAGATCATACTCGCGAACTTCAACGCCGAAGAAGTTGCAAAAGGACTGATACAGCGGGAATCCAGGCCGTGGGAGCAACATGTTGGACGGCTTTTCGCTGTTGGCCAGCGCCCCGATGCAAAACTGGATCGCCTGCGAGCACCCGGCCGTCATGAAGATGTCATCGGCTGACAACGAGTACGGTAGATCCTTGGAAAGGAACTCGGCCACGGCGCTGGAAGAAAAGCTTACAGAATCACAAAAAAGGTATGACTTTGAAGTTCTAGTTGCTATCTCGTCGATCTAACAGTGCTCTTTTTCTTCTTTTTTTTTAATCTGTCTTTACCTGCGGCAGTCGTAGATTCCAGCTGCTTGGCTGTAGCCATTGTAGTGGAAGCCGGAGATGGCGTCCGTGAGCGCCTGGACGGCTACCTGGGGAGCTTTGATCTCGCCGAAAGCGCAGGGGTCGCCGAGAGTGAGCGAAATTGGCTTCTTTCCTCGCCCCTGGACCGTCGGCATGGATTCCATCGCTCTCCGGATTGGATTGAGGCTCCGCAATGCTGCCGGATTCGCTCCAATCGCCCACCGCTTTGGATCCACAGCCGATTCATGCGGACTGTGAGTGGCAATCTCGCAGCGAAGCGCGAGCAAGCACGGCATTTTTTCTCTTTCCTCTCCGCTCGATCTCCTTTAGCGCTCCCGATTTCCTTCAGCGCTACCTTTAAAAAGGGGAAGATTCCGGGATATTCTCACCGTAGGAAAACACGTGGGAGAGAAAAAAACAAACGAGAAGTTCTCAAATCAAATCAATAGCGAAGAGGAGAGTGAGGTTTCCTTTTTATTGAGAGATGGAAAAGGATGATCTTCCGGGCATTGTCAATTGTGTACATGGAACCTTCTCTCTAGATCACACTAACACTGAGAAGAAGAAAACAATTAGCAAAAACAGGGTCTTTGTTTTTTTTTTTTTTTCCCTCTTTCCTGTGAGTGATCCATGGAAGCTACAACGCCCGCCCAGACCTCGCTCGCTATGATCCTATGCTGCTGCTGTGTAGAAGTCACCATAATTTACAAAGCTCTCCCCCGAGAACAAGAGAAGATGAGAAAGCTTCCCTTTTTATGATCCTAGAGGGGGATTTGGGAGATTCTTTCATCCAGAGGCCGCGAACGTCCGCTGGAGCCCCAGCGGCGATGGCATGAGCACCGGCCGGATCAATTCCTCGTGCTGCTGCTGCGCTGCCGCGGCCGTGGCCGCCGAGAATTCCTTGAGGATTTGGCTGAGCGCCAGCCTCTCCACACCCTCTGTTTCCACCTCCTCGCTCATGTACCTCTCCTCGATCCGGAGCTTGGCGACCTGGCCGTGGAGCAAGATCGTCTCGCTGCTGCCCGAGCTCCACTGCTGCAAATTCGACACCGGCAGCCTCCGGATTGGCGAAGAGCCGGTCCCCCTGGACGATGAATTGGCTTGCCTGGCGGTGGAATCCGCGCCCTTGTCGCCCGCCGAGGAGAAAGAGGGATTGCCCATGCCGAGAAATCGATCGGGCTGAGAGCCCAGATGGGAGGAATCCGCCGCCAATTGGCGACCCAGATAAGAGGAAAGGAGGATCTCCTCACGAGGAAGTGGGCAATTGGGCTATATCTTTCTTTCTTCTTTGCTTTCTTTCTATCACCTAATCAAGAACCAAGAACAGGGGCGTAGAGTGGAAGATGCGCACACCGCAAGCGAATATATGCGGTGGATCGATCGATCAATCGGCGAAGAAAAGCAAAATTGCGATCGGCAATCGAGTGATGCGATGCTTGGGCCAGCCAGCGACCGAGAGAGTGAGAGGAAGACGGGCTTTAAACGCCTTGGCCACTTTCCCTGTTTCACCAGGCACTGGAATCGCGTGTTGTGTGTCGCGACATTCCGTTGTCGAGATCAACGGCCCCAGTTGGTTTGAAATTCCGTGGAGGGAATGTAGGGCCGTGTTTGAACGGCACAGATCTGCCGTTGGGTGGTCGGAAGACTTGGGTTTCGTGTGGCCAGATACCAATGCACACGTGGGCGTGTAGCAATGCGCCACGTTTTTGTCCTGCATGAAATTTCTAGAAAAAAAGTATTTCCAAGTGTGAAAGATCTAACGGAACTATCTATCAGTTATTTCTCATCGTGTGGCTGTCAATAAAAGTTCGCATTTGGGAGTTAACTGGCGGCTAGCATGGAGCACACGTTTTTTCCCTCCATGTATTAGTTTACACTAACGATGCAAGATTATCCTACGCAAATCTTAAGAAAACATTGACTTTGGAAGAAGTCCACTTTGAGAGGCCATGGACGCGAAAACGCGATTTTGTAGAAAAATAAATTCTAGACAAAGTAAACAATGGAGAGCGGATCCTATGATCAGTGGCACCACCAGTGTTTCGATCCAATCCAAACGAATCCAGTGTTTAGATTATCATCATCGTCAGGAAAACGATTTACAGTACGCGTGAGTCGAAAGGAAGCATCGTCTAGTTTGTGTGTGGAAGATTCTTTGGACGCCGCTTGTCCTTGTTGACGCGAGCGAGAAAAAATCTTCCACTCTAACGAGCTGGCGAATTAAGACAAGAATCACTAACCTCTACGCAAACTCCCAGTCAGATCTTAGATTCTTCCCTGGAGGGTTGCAAATCAAGACAAGGATCAGTGATTTCCAAGCGTCGGCACCAAAAAGAGCCTGGATCTTGGCGGTGCTTGAAGTTCTCATCAATGAGTCGCGGAAGAACACAAGAACTTCAGGAAAATAAAGAAAAGAAAAAACAAAGAGTAGTGTCCACTCGACACTTGGAAGCGAAGATCACCGTCCAAGTTATCCATTATGGACAAGCAGGGTCCCATACTCAAGAACACTGTTGTACTAGTGAGTGACAAGATCATAACACTCCGATTTTGTTGGCAAAACTTTTGGAGGATTGATGACATATCTAGATCGCGATGGTCACTCATACTAGATCATCAAAACCACCAGCAACAGCAGCAGTGAGACGAGAGATAGAGATCCAAACCGGATTTGCGAGAAAGTTCCTGCGGCAGCCGCGGTAGAAGGCCCTGGAGCGAAGGCCGAGTTGCCGCTGGCAGGGATGGTGACGCCGGGAGTTGTAAGGCCTGAGGATCCGGGAGCCGCAGCTGGCGGAAGAGCAAGCGAGCCAGCGGCGGATTTATAGCTTGGGGGAGGTGGTGGAGCTGTAAAGTTCCAGCTTTAAATGCAAAGATCCAACCAAGAAAAAAGTCATGAAAAACGTCGTAGTACCTGGACATGAGTTTAGATTTACCGATTGTAAGCTGTGATTCACACAGAAAAATGAGTTTTTGATCGAGTTTTGCGTGAAAGGTCTTGAGTACCTGGAGAGGATGATTTTTTTCTTGAAGCCGGTGTAGAGACAGGACGTAACGTTGCACCCTTGGACGGATGCCGCGGTGGCCATGGCCCCGACGGTGAGGTTCGTTCCCAGGCATCTCATGTCCGGGCAGGATCCACTGATGACTCCCGGGGCTGGCGTGCAATACACTCTGCGGAGGAAGTATCATTAGCGATCATCGAAAAGTTTGAAAGTGATCGAGAAAGGAGGCGCAAGAAATTTGCTAGATGCAACTGAAAGAAAAAGAGAAACTAATGATATGAGATGAAATGATCAATGAAGTTTGCTAGCTAGTAATCTTTAGAAAAATTGGAAGTGATCGAAAACGAAAGCGAGAAAGCTTTGCAGCCGATGCAATGAAAACTTGGGAGAAGCACGCGCATATGATATACGATGCATGAAGGAAAAAAAAGGTCTGTGAAGACGATGGCTACGAATATTTGCTCGATGCATAGAAGAAAAGAGCGAGAAAAATATTTCTAGGAACTGTGAAGAAAAAGCAAAAGTTTTGAATGCGCAAGAAAGCAAACAAAGATGGTGATCCGTGATCTTACTGCTGGAGATTCGGCAAGCAACTGCACTGGACGCAATGACCAGCCGTGATGATGTAGCTTCCATTCGCCACAACGAGGCCAAAATCGTAGGCGCTGCGACGGAAACTCGATCCACAAGCTAATCCAACGCACGATCAATAAAAAAAACCATGGAAGGAAGCTATAAGAACACGACGAACACGAAGAAGAGCAAACGTTACCTCGGATAGGAACCGCAACCACGTCCCCGGCCGCGAGCTCCGACGCATTGGCGACGCCATTGAGCGCCATGAAATCGCCCGGTAACGATCCATACTCCCGGGCAAGCTCGCCAACCGTGTCGCCGCCTTGCACCACGTAAGACATGAGCAGCGCGGTGCCACCGCCGGCAAGAGAGTCGCCGCATCCACACGAGAATGGTATCACCAGCGTCGACCCGGCCGCAACCGCGCCACCAAAGTTCGCGGCGATGCCATTCGCTTGCGCAATCTGCTTGGCGGTGACGAGCTTCCCAAAGAGAGCGTCGGCGATGGAGGCGAGCGTGTCGCCGGGGCGGGACTTGTAGAGGGTGGCATTGCCGCGCCAGATGCCATCGACGCAGGAGCAGGAGATCGGGACCTTGACGATCCGGCGCGGCGCGATGACGAGCTGGGGAGAGCCCGGGTCGAGCGAGGATCGCAAGTCGAGGTTGTTTGCGGCAAGGAGGGAGACGGTGTCGATGTTGAAGAGCGCGGCGATGGCGCCCAGGCTCTGCGCCGCCGGGGTCCTGTAGGCCACCAGCGAGGAGCACTGCGACGCGGAGTTGCAAGACTGAATGAAGGACTTGGCGGCGGCGATGGCGAGCATGGAAGCCAGAAGGAGCACCGTTCTCTGGTGGCGATCGAGTGACCCCATTGCTCTGTTCTTTGCAGTGATCGTGATCCTGGGTGTTGCCCAAATGCTGGGCAAGGGAGCGCGAGCTTTTGGAATCGCTGGGCTTCTTACCTCGGAAAACTTGGGAGTGCGATCGATTGATGGGAATGCCGGTGGATTGAAAACCTTGGTCGCTATTGGATAAAAATGGACGGACGGATTTTTCCTCCGAGTAAAAGTAAAGTACCTGGTTAGGGTTCATGGA